ATGTTATTTTTTATTATCCGTGAATGTTAGCAACTGGACAAATTGAATGCAGCGGTCAAGGAAAAGCGACCAGAATTGGTCAATCGTAAAGGCGTCATTTTCCAGCAGGACAATGCTAGGCCGCACACGTCTTTGTCCACTCGGCAAAAATTGATGCATATTGGTTGGGAATTGATGTTACACCCACCATATAGCCCTGATCTCGCGCCATCGGATTACCACTTATTTCGATCCCTGGACAACTCCCTTCGTGGTAAAACTTTTAATGACGACGACGCTGTAAAATCTCACTTAACTCAGTTTTTGGCCGAAAAGGATCAGACTTTCTACGAGCGTGGAATTTTCAAGTTGTCAGAGAGATGGCAAAAGGTCATCGAACAAAATGGAAAATACATTACAGATTAAACTTCGTTCCAAGTAAAAAGAAATTGTTTATTTCATTGAACAAATCGGCAATTACTTAGTTGCCAACCCAATGTTATGAAAAAAGGCATCCCCCGGAGGGGTTGATCGCGATCCCATAAACGTCCCCAATTAAGTATAATTTATCGGAGCCGGTGCAACCTTCGTTTCTCACATTTCAAGCGCCGGTACACGCCATTCGCGAAATGTATACCGAGCAATGACCACTATTTATTTAGAGGAAATCCAAGAATCCCGACACGCAGATAAAATGAAGACGGTCTGAGAATGGTCTTTGACCCGTGCCGGTGCATTTTGGTTTCAGTTTACCGGGTTTCCAATTACCGTTGCTCGGTAGCGGGTTAATTAATCGGTCATTACACGGCCGGCTCCGTGTAATTGAATAAAGGTTCGTGCAATCGGCGCAGACACGAAATGGCGGAGCGGACTCGTTCCGAGAGGCAGCGGCGGCTGCGGCGGCGGCGTGCACGTTTAATGGGCCGCCATTAGCGCGCGATCGTTCGCGAAAACTCGCGCGCGGGACACTGTTGCCGTTGCTCGATTGCGAAACGGGCTTCGGGAGGTTGTGTCGTCGACAATGGCGAGCAACGACGTGCGTGCCGCGAACGGTTTCCCGTAATTTTCTCGCGGCGACACGCGGCGCGCAATTGCGCGCGATATTGGCTCGCCGCGCTGCGAGCGGAATTGCAGCGTTTCAAGGAAGCGGACACTTTCAGCGCTCTTTCTGCGCATGAACGTTCCAATTTGCTGGTAATTGACCGACGAGGAACTTCGTCTTCGGTGCTCGCCGGGTCGCGCGTGCACTCTCCGCGTTTTCCGGATCAGCGGACACGCGGCCCCTGGCAAACGAGCCGAAATCTTGACCTCGAGCCCGTCATTGTAGTCATCGACGAACAAAATTAGCACGCTTTATAATTATCCCGGTTTTTATTCATTTAACATTACGGTCATGATTTGATTTTTATCGTATATAAATTTTGCATATAAATATAAATATTTTTTTTTGCAAAAGCTTTTATATTTATAACTTGCAAAATGCCGCTACAAACACGCGCGAGTGAAATGGAATTGAATTTCGCCATTCGCGACAATTTTATTTGAATAAAAACAATTGTTCTGGAAATAGATGAACGAGTGATATTTGAGCCGCTCACTTGCCAAATTGATTAAATCCGTATACCAGAAAGTGGACGAATGTGATGAAATAATATACATTTTTTCAAAATTCCCTTTGAAATAAAAATTGAAATAAACATTGTATGATGCGTTGTTGTATAATCAGGACGGCTACTGAAATAAATTATTTATTATTCGGCGACGAAAAAGAATTTGTCGTTTAATGGTGTCGATCTGTATCACTTGGAAAGTTTATTATAAAAATAGACAAAGTTGTAACTGAACCAAGTGCTTTGAGACTTAAATTTAAAATATTTCGAAAAGCGGAGTTAATCGATTTGATCTATGAACGGCTTATTTAACCCTTTGCACTCGAAGCTATTTCAACAGTATTTCCATTTTATGTGACAAAATGCATTTCATGCGTTTGAAATTGGGTCTTGTGTCTCTCATACAGTAGTTACACTTTTAACAACTTTTTATATCTAAGTTTTGATAATATAAAAATTATCTTGGAATGTGATGTAACAATTTTTTTTTCAATGGTGCCTCAGAGTCACCACTCGAGTGCAAAGGGTTAATGCTTAATGCTGACATTAATTCTTTCAAAAGTTTTGCATTAACACAGTGATGCCGTTGACTGTTTCGTTCACGGACTTAAACGAGAAATAAAAACATGTGCAGTTCTTCAAAATTTGTGGAATGTTCGTCAATGCATTTGTCAAGAGACGATCAACCATTTCTAAGATTTCATACGTTTATTTTCAAACAGTCATGGAAAAATCTCAATCACATGTTTTGATAATTTAATACCTGCTAATTTACAATTTGTTAATTTAAGAGTTTTATGGAGTAGTTTAGACGAAAGTGAAATAATAAAGGAGACGCGAGAAAAAAAATTGTTTCAGAATATAGTAGAGCCTCTCTTATGTCAAGGGTTATTTTTGTAATATCCCGATAGCAAAACATTTTATCTAAAAATTTCATTCAATGTGTCTAAATAATGCAATGATAGCACGTTTGGCTACCAGGATATTGCAAAAATAACGTATTTTAAGAAAATATCGGAAAATAAAATTGCTCCTATTTTATCCCAAATCAATTATCCGAAGTATTTGACCGATAGTCGTTCTATTTTGAAATTAAAAAGCTACAATGTTAAATCGAATTATACACAGCGTACGAATATAAAATAAATTTTCTTAGCAACTTAGAAGA